CTGAAGGGTTTTTCCCTTCCTCTCACCCTGGTTTTCACACGGTGTGGGGCACCCAGGGCGCAGCCGAGCTTTCCAAAATCCTGACTCACCCCAGCCCGCGGGGGAAAGTGGCTCTGGCTCAGCCCAGCCCGGCTGTGCTCAGGGAAAAGGAGATTGAACCCCCCCGTGTTGCTCTGTCCTGTGGGAATCTGCAAGGATTCAACCTTAGATGTGAATTCCCAGCCTCGAGGGGTGGCAGGGACCCAGAAGTCCCCTCTGAGCCCGGCCTGAGCAGGGTTTGACCCGCGAGTGGCAGGACTGGCCCTGCCAGGGGCTGAGCAGGGCGTGGGATCCGCGACACCCACGGGGACAGCCCGGGGGGACAAGCCGCGGATCCGCGAGGTTCCCTCGTGTCACCTCGCTGAAATCACATCCCAGGGCAGCTCTGCCCTTGCCCCCAGCCCGTCCGAGCCGCTGCTTTGCTGCACGATCAGGGCCTGGCCATGCAGCTCCCACCCCCAGAACTGCGAGGATTCCTCCCCTCGGCACGGGAGAGAAAATTCCCCTTTCCCTGCCCGCACCTGCAGCTCCGAAATCTCAATTTTCTACCCCAAAACTCTGTGGAATCCCCTCAAGACGGGCTCGGGCACCGCTTTATTTTCATGCAAATTCAACCCACGGAGCCCTCAATGGACGCGGCAGAAAATCAAAGGCTCTGCTCAGCAGCACCTCCCCGGGAACAGGAGACTCAAACCCACAAATCTCTCCTCTTCCCACAAATTCTTTCTGGGAGCCCTCAGCTTTTCCGGGGCTGTTTAATCCGGACCTTTATCCCCAGCTCGGCTCTTGTTTGCTCCTTCCCTAAGTGGTTTTCACTTCCCAAAGCCACCGGCCACCCCTCGTGGGGATCCCACGGCACCGGCTCGGGCTGAAAAGCTGGAGCTGCTCCATCCACAGGGATTTTTGCCTCTGGCGAATCGGGAATTGCCTCTGACAGAGGCGCTGAGGTGTTGAACCATCTGGTTTTACCGCCCGGATTTCTGGTTCCTCTCTGAATTTTAAAATACCTGCACTCAGAGCAGGCCGATTCGCTTGGAAGGTGACAGGAAATTCCAGGCTCCCGCAGTTGGTTTGGGACTTCCATGAATTATTTGTCTGGGAAAAAAAATCCCTTTTTTAAATTTTTTTTTCTTATTAGAAATTCTACTATTAATTTATTATAAATATTATTATTAATTATAAATTATTTCTTTATCTGAAGTGATGCTCCTGCTGAGTGCTTTTCCAAATCCACACAAAAATCCCTGCAATATCAGGTGGGGAGGGAGCTGCTGGATATTTTCCCCTTTTTTTTTCCCCCTTCCCCTTTCTCTTCATTTTTCCCCCCTTACCTTTCTCTTTTTCCCCCCCCTTCCTTTTCTGGTATTTCCCCCCTTCCTTTTCTGTTTTTTTTCCCCTTCTTTTTCTGTTTTTTTTCCCCTTCCTTTTCTGGTTTTTTTCCCCTTCCTTTTCTGGTTTTTTTCCCCTTCCTTTTCTCTTTTTTCCCCTTCCTTTTCTGTTTTTTTTCCTCTTTCCTTTTCTGTGTTTTTCCTCGCTTCCCTTTCTCTTTTTTCCCCCCTTCCCTTTCTCTTTTTCCCCCCTTCCCCTTTCATTTTTCCCCCCTTTCCCTTTAATTTTCCCCCCTTCCCCTTTCTATTTTCCCCCCTTCCCCTTTCTATTTTCCCCCCTTC